TCTGATCCTCGACATGAAACGCGAATCCTCTTGATTTCATACTTTTGAGGGATTTGCCGGGAATCGCTATCTCTGATGACGACTCTCGGCGGAACAATTCTTCTCTGCCCAGTTTTGACTCCACTATGGCTTAAAAAGGTGGATCAGAAACAATTTTTTTTCTCTTAGTTCGGTTAAAAAAACGGTTGTACAAAAATCCACCATCAAATCACGAATCATATGTGTCTGAGCATAAAGAATTACCGAAATACTGTTGGGGCAATTGGTTGGGCAACTTGGGGCCCTGCCACAGTGCAAAAGAAATGTCCTCTTGACTTCACTTAATTTTTGATGGGATCCTAATCTGTGGATCAATTCATAGAACACATTTGTTTGAACCCAGTGTCATGTGGTGTAAAATCATGGATTTGAGACCAGGTTGTCTTCATTTGTTACTATTTTTGTATGTATCCACATGAAACAAAAATCATAGTTCTTTTACTGTAATGAGGTATTGCAATTAGATTTCATTCTTTTTGGTCCCACACTGGTGCCAAACTGTGGAACTGATACATGGCTTCACATAATTTTATGTATAACCCAGCTGAAATCAATGTTAATCGACAAATCAGAACATTTTGCACAGAACCAACCACCAGAATCATAGATCTGAGGATTTTTACCAATATAGTACAAAAAACTTGGACTTAGCGCACAAATCCTTCTGAACGTTATTATATGCAACTTTCCAGAAAAATTGCCAAGCTGTTATCTCTTTTTCAATAGGCAGACAGGGAAACTCACAGTTGGTAAAGTTTGGTATTAAAATGGCACAAAATCAAAGAAACTAGTTTTCTAAAAAAAACTAATTGCACTGTTTTACCTGAAATCATAGACTAGACATGTCAAACACAAGGCCCGGGGGCCAGATGCATCCCGCGAAGTGGTTTCATGTGTGGCCCACGAAACCATCCTGGAAACAGTGAGGGAACGGCCTCCGCTGCCTTGGCCCTGGCCCAGGCCGGCCGGGAGCTAATGTACAATTTTGTGGTGGCCGGCTGTCTGGAAACAGCAAGGGACCGGCCCCTGCCACGTTGGCCCTGCCCCCTGAGTGCATGCTTGGGAGGTGTCACCCTTTGTGAGGAATGAAGAAATGGACCGTGCCTTGGCGCTTGCCCCGGTCCCACCCTCTTCTGCCAGAGACCCTCAGATCTGTCCCCCTCCTGCCCAGGCCCCCACAGGCACCCTTGACGGGAACGATGTACAGCTGGCCATGCCCACCCAGTAGGCCACACCCACCCAGGCCACACCCACCCAGCCCCCCAAGGGCAACCGCAATGCTTATGTGGCCCTCAATGAAATTGAGATTGACACCCCTGTCATAGACTATCTTTACTAATGCACTCTTCCATTATAATCAGTTCTGGCAATGTCTGGCATTCTCATGACAAGGCAAAATCTGTGACATATTCTCAAGAATCTTCATGGTATTCACCTTAAGACAGGGGTCCCCAACCCTTGGTCCGTGGACCGGTACCAGGCCGTGGTATGCCTGCAACTGGTTCACACAAACAAGCAAAGTCCCATCCGTGGAATGCAGGCAGCACACAAAACCACACACTCTCTGGTCTGCAGAAAAACGTTTCTCCATAGAACCGGTCCCTGGTGCCCAAAAGGTTGGGGACCTCTGCCTTAAGAGATTATCAAGTAAAAGTAGATAGTGGATTTGAAGAATGAATTCTTATGGATCATATGGAGGATAAAGGATAAAGCTGTTCCTATATAACAAGTTTAAGAAGAAATGTAGAAGTAATCAGACTTTCCAAACAGGTTTGTTTTGTTTTATAGATCCAGGAAATGTTCTATCTAGCAGGCAGTAGGCAGGCAATGTTAAGTTAAGCTACAAAGGTTTGATTTATTTCCTTAATCCTCTTGAAACCAGAATGTTGTGTACTAAATTACTAAATCAGAAATAAGGAAAGTTAACAAAATCTGATCTTTGCAGACATTTTAATGTATATTCAAGTAATGCCAAAGCATAAATAATTGTAACATATATAGCTTCAATGCATTTAACAGAATCAATGCAACAATTGCAACAATGTGAGGTTTTTACAGAGAAAGTCCAAATTATGGAAAAGGAAACACACAAAGCAGCTTATTATTTTCATCATATACACATTTTTAGACAGCACAGGAGAGCAGCTTCTTCTTCATTGTGCTTGGAGAAATTTACTTTTAAACGATCAGGCTCTCTGCCCAATGATTTTCCTATTTGCATTTAAATACGTAAAATATATTAAAAATAAGGATGCCAAAAAACCTGCAAATATAGCGATACCAGCAATTTCCTTAGAAAGGAGAGCCACATTTAAGAGGATATTTTACACATTTTTCAATGTGGTACTTATAGATTTGATTTTTTTTAAACCCGAATCTTGTTTATGACATGTTTTCTACCCTTTTTTCTTAAAAAAAAGTGTAGATGGGTGAATAAATGTTTTGTAGTGGTGTGTTTTAGAACATCAAAATTTTTGTTTTTATGGAGTAGGCATTTGGGAAAAATATGCAGATTTCCATCTTAATGTGTTGGCCATTAATTTTCTTACTTTTATCTGTTTTATCTTCTGTGGAATGAGTGCATCTTCTAGAATCACTATCCAAAAACACAGTCTATCCTGTACCTGGGTCTTGGATAAGATTTCACTGTCAGAAATGAAATTTTGTAATTGACCATATTTACCATGGCAGTCATTGGGCAAGAATGCCTGAGATACTATCAAAATATCAAGAGTTGGGATTGATAGTTGTATACTTTACATCTGCTTTTCGAAGTAAAAATATATCAAACAAGATCTTAGATTTATGCTATTTTATCAATATTTGAAGGTCCATCATCAAAAATAGGAATTATAGGAATTTAGAAAAATTAAATGTGCAGAGTAAAAACCTAAAAATAGACTTTTTCCAAGGTAGTATTTCCATCATAGTTCATGTTGTAAAGAGACAAATTTATTTTTTAAATTAAATGAGACTGCATTGCCAAAATATGCACATTTCTTTCTGTGTATTTCAGCCATGACTTACTCTCCAAAACACTTTTTCCATTGAGCAGTGGTAAAATTTGGTTCAGTAAATGCAATCACTGAAATTATAATGTAAGGAAACTTATGAGTCCATTATAAAGGAAGAACCAATTTAACTCTCTATCAGATATTTAAAAACCCAACTGTGTCTTAATTTAGTCTGTAAAATTAAATTATCTGTAATAATCACAGACAAAGCAAAGGAAATTTCCAGTTAAGTCAAGCTACCTGACAGCAGACATTTCAAAAATTAAAATCCAAGAAAAAAATAATCTCATTTTTCAGAATAATAAAAGATATTTCACTGTATAATTTCTATCTTAATTTCCAAATCTTTGTAAGACAAAACCACTTATGGGTACTGAGAATGGGCTACATATATGTAAGTGACAAGATGTAAGGAAGAACTGTAATATAAGAGGATTGCAAATACATGACACATCTTCAGCTCGTAACGGAGTCATAAAATCTAATGCAAATTAAGATCAACTAATAAAATCTGCCATATTTTATGATTTATAGTCATTGTGATTGGCTACATAAATGTGAGATGAAAACGTGGTAAATTGCTTGTATAAATACAAAACAATAAAAGGCTACCAATTTTAAAACTATGTTAAGGCTTGACTGTGGAGAAGGCCAAGAAATAAAATATTTCAAAAAGGAACATCAGAATTTACTAAGTTTAGTGAAAGATGCTTCAAGTAATTGTTTTCAGATGGGTTTATAAGAACCAATTTATGTGATATATTTTTAAATTAGCATTCTAATATAAACAGACCGTATTCTTTGCTACCTGTTTTCTAAAATATTATGCATACTAAACACTTGACTAACATTGGGGTAAAATACTAATTTGCACCTACTTGAGCTGCAATATACCTTGGTGTTTAGGTAAAGATGCTAAACATCACATGCACATATTCTTGAAAAGAAAATATATGGAATAAGATACCGAAGCTTGACATAACTTGTAGTACAAAGAAAAAAAAATCTAAGATTGACTGAAAAGTCAGAGATGAATAAAACTGGTGACACTTAACTGTTCAAAGGGCTAATAACCCAAAGACCAGTTTTTCAATCTGCAGTGTCCATTTAATGCAGCATATTCATAATTCATGTAAACAATAGCAAGATTCCAATTCAAATGGGAACGTATATAAATGTCAAGTTAGATTGCGCTGCTGTTTTTAAATTCACCTTTCTATATTAACAGAACATTACCACCTGTAATGAAGACAAAAAACCCATTTGACCCAGTCTAATTACATTCCTAAAACCAGAAGCTTCTGAAGTTTATCAGCATTTTTATCAGCATATGCCACTTGCTCAAAAATATGAACTAGTATATTGAAGTGGTATACATTAACACAGAGGAATAACCTTAAAAGATCATTCTGGTTGGATTCACAGTAGATCTGTTTCCATTTGTGGAAAAGATCAGGATTCAAGCATGGGCTTTTGATGGGAGGAAGAAAGAGAAGCATTACCTATTATCCCCTTCAACTGTCTGTGCCATTTTATATGATGTTGCAGAGGGTACTTATCCCAGTGTTTTGAGGGGCACATGAAATGGAGGAACTGGCCAAAATAGCTTTCCCACCTTTTCTTTAACAGGGGCTTCAATGTAAGTTCTACAGACAAGAATTCTGGAACAAAGCCATAAAATGTAATTCGGTCAACCACACAACACCTCAGTTGTCTTGGGGTTTCATGTCCAACGAGAAATATTAAAGTAAAAGGTGGCAACTGCAATTAATGGGAAAACGAATGTCTTCCTTAGTAGCAGGAAAGGCCCACTTTTGAAACATTGTTACTCGGTTTTCCATGTTTGAGACCACACATATCAAACCTAACCTGTAATAATTCACCCTCATAGTTGGGAATGTGGCATTTCCTTCATAGCTGTAATTCAAGTACACTGAATTAGGAAAGAAGAAAGAACTGATGAACATTTAACCCTGTTTGTGTATTTACAGAGGGGTATGAATGAACTCAAGACTAAATAGTCCTGCTGATGTATTGAATCCCACAGCTATTATCATGGCACTTCTGAGCCAAAAACCACAAGCAGTTCATGACAGAAAATGAAAGTAAAGAAATAAACACAAAGGTCTGTAAAGACATCTCCCATTTTGCTGTAAGTGTCCATGGAACGACTAATTACTTCTGCAGGGATTCCAGACAGTAAAAGAGCAGCAGTTAATACTGTAGTTTTTGTCTTCTTTTCACTCTGTGCAAAAAAAAACCAAAAAAACCCACCAAAGTTTAATTTTTTCAGAATGTTCATCTTAAAGCATCTTATTTCATTTTAAATGTTATAGAACCTATTCTTCTCCCACAACTTATTCCAAATATCTAAAAGGAAACAATTAACTTAGGATCACCCAAAGAATTCTATGGTTGACTAAGAACATGAATCTCCCAGGTCTAAGTCTATCATATCAGTCATCACTAAAGTGAATCCTCCACCCTTGGCCACTCCAAGTTTGAAATGTTGAGAATCGTTTTTTTCTAATAAAACACTTACCTTGGGGAAATACTTTGACAGTCCCATATATGCAAGTTGTAAAGTAAGGAATGGAGCAAATATTGACTGTAGAGAAAAAAACAAAATAAAAAATTATATACTTTAATAATCATGAGAAATCATACCAAACAGATGCTTTCAAAGAAAGCGTCTTTTTCTTGTAGAACATCTCAATGATTTAACTAAAATAATTAAAAAAGAAAAAGCACTTTTTAAAAATGCTGCTATCAAACACAATGCATTTAAGAGTAACTCATAGGTATTAAATATATTTAGTCACTGCTACAGAGATGGGTGGAGGGTGGTTATCTACGATAATGTTAAATATTAATATATTAACGATAATTAAAAGCAGGTCTATCGCTTATTTCCAACATAAAGCTCTTTGAGCATCCAGTGCATAATATTAAAATGCATTAGTTAGGATTACTTTGAAGGGGTGTTTGTCAGCTGTGCTTTAGGACTATCCAAATGGTTAACAAAAAAGAAAGTACACAGCCACTGCTTTCTCCCTGGATTTCCATCCCCTTGTAATGCTTAACTGATATCAAGAATGAAGTGCAATAATAAGTTACAATTCCCTGACATTGTTTCTAGTACAATTACATTGCCAGTCAGGCACTTCACAAATGGCGCACATTTACAATAGTCACAGCATCCCATGGTCATGTAATTGCCAATGGTGAGCTTCACAGCTGGATTCTGACAAGACAACAGAGAAGCTGGCAGTTAAGTTGCAAGTTGTGGTCACATGATACCACACTTAACAATCATAGTAGAACTGACATTGTAAGTCTGGCATGATCATCTGATGTTTTGCTTAATGACTGCATAACTTAGCAATGGAGTAGCTGATCCCAACTGTGGTTATTGAGGATTACCTGTATTTACTTACTGTAAATATGCTCTGAAGAACAGACTTTCACACAGTTCTTAACAATTATTGCTAGAAACAATAGATGGTTTTATGGATTTGGACCTGAATTTACTTAGCCATGAGAAAATAATTGTTCAGCATAAATACCCCATACAAGTACTACTTTACAGGCCTGTGAGCAAGGCAAACAACGCAAAAAAAGGGAGTGAAATGAAAATGAATAGCAAGATATTTTTAAAAACAAAAACTTACCAAATATTTGCATACAAAAACTCTAACGCCAATGGCAAGGAGTGCACAGCCTACCAATCTAAAAATGTGAAAGGAATCAAATTCCTCCACAACACTTCCATTTTCTTGACTTGGCTTCTCATTCATCAGCTGGTTTCTGAGCTTCATCGCTTCATCAAACCTTGATAAATACTGATCTAATCCATGGCGTGGTGCTCTCTGTGGAACGTCCAACAGTTCCCCTCTATTGCGTTGCCGGAGCTCACTGCTGCCATCACTACCAACTTCATGAGTTTTGCTAAATAAGTCTATTTTCTCTCCTTTGTGCTCTGCTAAACTGCTTGTGTGGTCAGCCGTTCCTGATAAACTGCAGACTGTATCACCAAGCACAACCCGTTTGGAAACAGGAGCAGGAAGGGAAATTGGTTTATCCTGTTCCAGCTGAAGCTTAGTTTCTGAATGAGTGTCATCATCTAAAGAGAACAGAACAAAAACTGAAATCATACCACAAATTTGAAGCTGATAGTAAATTCTTAGAGACGTAGGACAAAATACAGGATGTCAACAAATGATACGAGGCTTCAGTTAACTGGAGTCGTCTTCTACATAACCATATTTAAAATTCATTCTTTCCCATGTGCACTTCTTTAAATATAAATATTATTATCAATTGCCCATACTCACAACAGATTCAGAAAAGTACAGGAGTTCCTTGACTTGAAGGTGGAAAACGATGATCATGAGATCCTGGAACACTGAAATAGGCATAAATATATGCCAGTTACCAAGCACCCAAACTTTGATCACTGAGGGAAGTGTGATCGTCATAAATGAGAGGACCAGTCATGTCCCTCTTTTCAGTATTGTCATAACTTCAAATGGTCGTTAAATGAATGGTTGTAAATCAAGGACTATCTTATTGTATGTATGTTCAACAATATTTTCTGCATAGAATATATGTTTAGGAATTGTGCCATATGTAATGAATCTTTTAAATATTATTAATATAACTTTTTCTAATCCATTTATCTATAGCTCTCAGAGACATTAGCAAATATATTTATGCAGTAAATTTTAGAAGTGCATCCCAATCTGAAAAGGATGAAAATTGTTGAAATATAAAAGAATACACACACATACACACTCATATTCTTTATTTTTTTTTTTACATTCCCTCAATTTTTTCTTGCTCCTCAAAGAATCATATGCCCTACAGTAAATGTTCCATTGTCAATAATAATGAGAAGCCACAGAAATTATCTATGTACATCTTAAATGTCATTATAAAGCAATATTGTGTGCAAAAATACAGTGGCGCACAACTTTCAATTGCTCAAAATAAATAAGTAAATCCCCCCTGTAATAATCATCTCTCAACTAGTTTCACATTGGCTTATTATTGGAAAAATATTTAAAATATCAATGGTAATCATGTAACGTACTGCCTAGAGCAGTGGTGGCGAATCTATGGCACGCGTGCTAGAGGCGGCACTCAGAGCCCTCTCTGTGGGCACACGCGCCATGCCCTGGAGATGGCAACCGTCCCTCTTCAACCAGCCACCCACTAACTCGCCGAGGTCCCATGTGGCCGGATGCATCCTAGCACAGCTGGTTTTCCTCCCCTCCATCCCATCTCTCCTGGCCTCGCATGCTCTCCTTTTCCCGGACACGACCCACTGTATCACCTCCTCAGCTGTCGGCTATCCATCCAGCTCAGAGGCGGCTTCTCTGAATTGCTGGTGGCAGGCTGCGGAGCCCCAGAGTGTGCCAGTCGAGGGGCCGGCAGGCTGTGGCTGCTGCCGGACACTGTCGGCCCCCATGTGCTCACTGGCCTCTGTGTGCGGGGGCTCATGATGTCGGGCAGCAGCTGCCCTGGCCCCTGCCTCACCTTGCCCTGCGACAATGGCACCCCCCCTGCCTTGCCTTGCCTCACCCCGCAGGACGAGCCTCCTGCCCACCGTCCCACCTGCCAGAGACCCCCTGGATTTCCCCCAACCCTGCCCGGCTCTCACAGGCGTCCCTCCCCACGAGCAACATCGAGGTGACCACGCCCATCTTGGCCACACCCATCCAGTCTGCCATGACCACCACAGCCACGCCCACCAGTGGGCCACGCCCATCTGGCACCCGGCGATAAATAAGTGGGTTTTGGGTTGCAGTTTGGGCACTCGGTCTCTAAAAGGTTCGCCATCACTGGCCTAGAGAGTTCAACTAGTCACTCATTCTCACATCCTGCTAACTACAGAATTAAGATATTCTCTAACCATGCTTAGAAAACCTAATGAAGTCATATTTAATGCATCTCCAGCCCTCAATAAAGTCATCTTGAAATGAAACCTATTCTGTCATAAGGAATAAGTGGGCTTACACAAGTCTGATCTTTGTATAGACAGATCATGATATTTAAACATATTTTCCAAGGCCTTCATGGTTGTTATTCTGTGGCATATCTCTTGACTGCTGATTTCTTTACTGTTGATGGTTGATTCAAAAGGCAGAAGCTATCCATCACTGCACTATCTTCTAAGGATGGTTATTCTACTTATGTCATTAACTTGGTCTTCTTTATATTTAATTTTAGTCCCATTTTTCCACTAGGGTAAAGTAGTCCTCCACTTACAACCATTTGTTTAGTGACTGTCTGAAGTTACAATGGCACTGTAACTTATGACTGGTTTTCACACTTATGACCATTGTAGCATCCCTATGGTCACATGATCAAAATTTGGGCACCTAGCAACCTGCATGTATTTATGGCAGCTGCAATGTCGCAGGGTCATGTGTTCAGTAGCAGGCTTCCAACAAGCCAAGTCAAGGGGGGAAGCCAGATTCATTTAAACCTCACATGATTCTCTTAAAACCCGTATGATTCACTTAACAACTGCAGTGATTCACTTAACAACTATGGCAAAAAAAGGTCATAAAATGGATCAAAAGTCACTTTACGAATATTTTGCTTAGCAATGGAAATTTTAGCCTCAGTTGTGGCTGCAAGTCAAGGATTACCTTGCTTGATTTTTATTACTACAGCTTGCAGATCCTTTGCATTTTCAGCTGCAAGGGCAGTGTCCTCAGCGGAGCACGCATTGCTACTGGCAAGACTAAAAATGCAATAATTCTTACAAATCTCCTTTGCCAAATTTAAGATGGCAATTAAGATACTACCAATTACGCTAAAACGCTATTTACTAATGTAAGGTTTCCTTGATTGGATTAACTCACAGATGTTGCGCTTTTATGAAAGCCATTCAAATTTGATTTTTTTTTTCCCTTCCAAAATGAGAACGCCGTTCCCGAACAACCTACAGTCTAACTATTTACAGACTATCAAGTCAATTTGACTGTGCTGGTCCCATTTCAACAAATAACGGGTTTAAAATATAGCAGAAAGCAACTCAACATTTCCATTATTCAAGAATGACGACTCCTTCTACATTTGAGGAGCTTGAAGCGCCAAACGTCTGGCCGCTACCTAAGTCAGCCGTTTCCAGTGTTGCTGGAAATAAAAGTTTTGCTGCAAAAAAGGCCAGATTTTAACCTCGGGGGATGACCAAGCGAGAACCGGGCGAGAGGGTTTGAGAAGATGAGGACAAGGGGACCCCCGCCGTATCCCCTCCTCCCTCCAGCCGCGGCCCGGAGCCCCCGATCCCAGGCCACGCCCCGTCCTCACCCGTCTTCGGCCGATGGAAGCCCATGATGCGATTGATCCGCTCCTCCGAGTTCATCAGGAGCTTTCGCCGGCGAATCTCGGCCCGCCGCTGAGAGGCAGTGAGTCCGCTCAGCGGTGGGGAAGATCCACCGGCTCCCTCATGGTGGCTGCTATCACCACCCTCTCTTTCCACGAGATCCGGCTCCATGACCCGCCGGTCGCCGAAAGAGCCGCGACCACCTCAAGGCTTTCTCTCCTTAGGTATACAATGGAAATCACCAGGCCCCTCTCCGACAGCCGCTCTCTAACGCGCAAGCGCTGCTGGCGCCATTTGAGGACCGCCTTCAGAGGCTGAAACGAGCGACGCCATCTTGGACGAGGGTCTCCCTTTTAGAGCGAGCGCGGCAGCGCGGTGACGACGGCAAGTTGAAAGCACTTGTACGGAAGCTGCCGACCCTTAGCAAAGATGGCGGAAAAGGCTTCGGGAGTGAAGCGGGTGAAAAGGGTGAAGTTGAGTATGATCTCATCGGTTAGGAAAATCATAATCGCTTCCGTCATGATCAACTCCGGGCTGCTTCAGGCGGGGCTCCGAGGATTTCAATTGGACAGCCAGCTGATTGCGGCAGTTGATGGTTTATCCCCAAAACAATTAAGGAAGTACCAAAATTATTTTCCATTCTAATCCCAAAAATATTTGCAAGGAACGGGCAATAGTGCCGCTAAGCTAAAGTCAAACCACAAGGTGATTTTTTTTTTTTTAGAAAAGTGCTATATATTCAGCCTGGTGATAAATATTAAAGGCCTATTTTCATGTAATAAGACTCCATGGATAGATATTAGAAATTTTTGATAATGCGACCGAATTATGAAAGAATTCGATTCAGAATTTAATAAGCTCCTAATTACGGTCTTGTCAGTACTTAGGCAAGGATTTTGTTTTCCAAGTCTTTGGTTTGCATATATTTATTTTAATTCGGGCACTAAAAATTATTTTACTCTTCATCCTTTATATTGAGCTTTTTTTTAAAAGTGATTTTGTGCTAGACTTAACAGAATAACAGTTGGAATGGACCTCGGAGGTCTTCTAGTATCCTAGTCCAACCCCCTGCTCAGGCAGTAAACCCTGTACCATTTCAGACAAATGGCTGTCCAGTCTCTTCTTAAAAACTTCCAGTGTTGGAGCATTCACCACTTCTGGAGGCAGGTTGTTCCACTGATTGTTCTAACTGTCAGGAAGTTTCTCCTTAATTCTAGGTTGCTTCTCTCCTTGATTAGTTTCCACCCATTGCTTCTTGTCCTGCCTTCAGGTGCTTTGGAGAATAGCTTGACTCCCTCTTCTTTGTGGCAGCCCCTGAGATATTGGAACACTGCTATCATGTCCCCCCTCGTCCTTCTCTTCATTAAACTAGACATACCCAATTCCAGCAACCGTTCCTCATATGCTTTAGCCTCCAGTCCCCTAATCATCTTTGTTGCTTCTTCTCTGTACTTTTTCTAGAATCTCAACATCTTTTTTACATTGCGGTGACCAAAACTGGATGCAGTATTCCAAGTGTGGCCTTACCATACTTGGTAAATGGTATTAATACTTCATGTGATCTTGATTCTATCCCTCTGTTAATGCAGCCTAGAACTGTGTTGGCTTTTTTGGCAGCCGCAGCACACTACTGGCTCATATTTAAATGATTGTCCACTAGGACTCAAGATCCCTCTTAGTTACTACTATACAGGTGGGATCAGTGGTGGGATTCAGCCGGTTCGCACCACTTTGACAGAATTTTTGGTTGCCCAGACCCAGAATGGACTTTCCAAAGCGGCATCCATACAGAGAACCAGTTGTTCACATATTTGAATTCCACCACTGTACCACCTATACTGTACTTGTGCATTTGGTTTTTCTTGCCTACATGTAGGATCTTACTTTTTTCACCATTGAATTTAATTTTGTTAGATAGCGCCCAGTGTGCAAGTCTGTCAAGATCCTTCTGTATCTTAAGCCTATCTTCTGGAATGTTGGCTATTCCTGCCAGCTTGGTGTTGCCTGCAAATTTGATGAATTTCCCATCTATCCTCTCATCCAAATCATTGATGAAGATGTTGAAGAGTACTGGGCCTAAAACAGAGCCTTGGGGTACCCCACTCCATATAGATGCAGTTCCATTGGGGACTATAAGTTGAATGCAGTTGGTCAGCCATTTATTTATCTTATCATTTTTTTATCTTATCAAGTAGTAGGTTGTGGTCTATTTTATCAAATGCCTTACTGAAGTCCAAATAATTATATCCATAGGATTCCTCTGGTCCACAAATTTTGTCACCTGATCAAAGAATGCAGTAAGATTTGTCTGGCATGATCTGTTTTTAACAAACCCATGTTGGCTTTTGGTTATTACTTTGTTTACCTCTAGGTGTTCTCTGATTTGTTGCTTGATTATTTTTTCCAGAATCTTCCCAGGTATTGAGGTCAGGCTGATAGGTCTGTAGTTTCCTGGATCTATTTTTTCCCCTTTTTTGAAGACGGGAACTACATTAGCTCTTTTCCAGTAGTTCCCCGGTGCTCTAGGATCTTTGAAAGATACAGGTCAGTGATTCTGAGATCACGTCTGCCAGTTTCTTCAGAATCTTGGGGTGCAATCTATCTGGTCCTAGTGATTTGAACTCCATCTAGGATGGATGGGTGCTTACTTAACATTTTCTTGCCTATTTTAACTTGTATTCCTGTTTTTTAGGATACCGTTTTTGAAAAGTTGGACTGTTTTTTCCTTTTGTGTAAAGATGGATGCAAAAAACGAGCTAAGAAGTTCTGCTTTCTCCCTGTTGCTTGTCACCTTTTTGCATTAATGGACCATTAATACAGGTATCACCTATACTAGGTGGTATTAGTGGACTAATCGTTTCCCTGACTTTTTTCTTGTTTTTTACATGTTGAAAGAAGCTTTCTTTTTTTGTTATTTTTGACTTTTGTCATAAGCCTTAGTTCATTTTGAGCCTTAGCTTTTCTGTCTTAATCTTTGCAGACTGGGGCTATTTGCTGATACTTTGCCTTAGTTATGTGCCCCCCTTTCCACTTTTTGTACTTGTTCTTTTTGTCTTTCAATTTATCAAAGAGTTCTTTATGCAGCCATGCTGTTATTTTTCTTTTTCATTGGTATTGTGGTAGACTGGGCTTTTATAATCTCACTTCTCAAATTTCCCAAGCTTCTTGGGTTGTTTTTCCCTTGAGGATTCTCATCCATAGAATCCTTCCCAAGCTCTAAGTTTATTGAAATTAGCTCTCTTAAAGTCCAAGATTCTGGTTTGACTATGTTCTATTGCTTGTGCTTGCATAATGTTGCATTCCAATATTGCATGATCACTCCCCCCCAAAGTTCCTGTAGCTTCAACACCTATCATTTCATCTCTGTTAGTGAGTTCAATATGGCTGATCCCCTAGTTCCCTTCTGTACTTTTTAGGAGACAAAGTTGTCTGCTAGGTTTGTCAGGAACTTGTTTGATCCTCCACTTGGTACAGAGTTTGTCTCCCAATTGATGTCAGGGTAGTTAATGTCCCCCATTACTATTGTGATATGCTTCCTACATACCTTAGTTAACTGACTAGCAAAAAGGTCATCTATTTCCTCTGTTTGGTTAGGTAGCATATACCTATAATATACATCTATGGCAATGTCATTCCCCCCTTTTATATTGACCCAAATGCATTCGAGACAGTTTTCATCATTGTTGTGCTCTATTTCTGTAGAGATGTCGTTATTTCTTATATATAGTGCAACTCCACCTCTTTTATTTAGTCTATTTCTTTTAAATAATTTAAATCCATCTAACTGTGTATTTCATTTGTGGGTTTCATCCCACCAAGTTTCCGTAATGGCAACAATATAATATCTGCCCTCATTTACTTGAATTTCTAATTCACCCTGTTTATTCCTCAATGCTCTGTGCGTTAGTATATAGACATTTGAGTCCTTTTTGACTGACCCTGTGTTTACTTTCTATATAACCTGTTTTGTGCCAGAGTTTCCCTACTTCCTTACCATTTGTTTGATTAGTGCACATGGTATGGCACACACTATCAAAAGCTTGATTTCCCTTGACAGCAAGGTTGATATTCTTACCCGCACAAACATCTACTGTATGTTACAAGCACTGATAGTCCTATTAGTTTTAGATTGCTGAGGACAAAAATGTTCTGTATCAATTAACTCTGTCCCCATTGTTTAGTTTAAATGTTTCTCAGGAAAATATGTGGATTTAATGCCAAGTAAATTTATTTTCTGTTAGTTTATTAAAATGGTTTAGATTTATTTGGTGTAATTGAATTTCATGTTTTTACTGAGTTGTAAGTTTTGCAAACTATAGAGCTAATTGAATTTAAACAAAAATGCCACAAATGTAATGTTTTGTAACATTTCAGGTTAAAAGTGATTAGGAATGATTTATTATTAATTTTGAGTGCTACAAATCAGATCCAATATATAGACATGGTCTGGAATAAATAAAGAATGGTGAGGCAAAGAAAAACTTAGAGCAGTGGTTCTCAACCTTTTTAATGCCGCGACCCCAACCGGTCGTAAGTCGAGGACTAAACCGGTCGTAAGTCGAGGACTAAACTGGTCGTAAGTCGAGGACTACCCAACCGGTCGTAAGTCGAGGACTTTCCCTGCCCGGGAGCACCGCGCATGCATGGTTCCGCCCCCTGCGCCGGCCGAGGCATATCTGGCAAGCGGCAGAGACGGAACAGGCCGACCACCAGCTGGCCCAGCCCAAGGGAGGTAAGGCACCCGCCGGAAAAGGGGAAAAAATGGCGGACAAAAAAAATGGCGGACAGCCTTGCTTGGCGACCCCCGTGAAATGGTCGATCGACCCCAAATGGGGTCCAGACCCACAGGTTAAGAACCACTGACTTAGAGGAAGTGGAAGCAGGAATGTTGGGAGAAAATGATACAATGTTGGAAGTCTTGATTTTAAGGGGAAATAAAGCTGAGCATAGTAAAGCATGTAATCTAAGATTTTAATAAATTCAATAATGTTATCCCATGTCCGAAGGAGCTAATGGGGAAAAGCTTAAAATTTAAGAGCAAGGGTGGGCAATTTATTTTTCCAACTGGGACTTTAGAGGTGCATCCACACACATACATAAATTGAAAAACAAATAGCAATCGCCTTCAAAATAAAAGTGATGCAGTGGTATTGTGTGTATGGCCTACACTTTTTTATATATGATTTCTAATTTCCCATTGATTCTATATGGGCTGGATATGGCCCTGGAACCATAAAATGCCCAGGTCTGGCTTAGAAA